CGTGTTATTTCAAAGACCTTATCAAACGTTATGCATTATGATCTTTAACCGACCATGTGGCTTAATTACAATAATTATAGAATACCTGCAACAAGTCAGTGCCAGGAGGTCCAACGTATACTTTAACGTGAATGTCAACGGGATCATTTTTGGCAGGATAAAGCGCTATTTCTAATTCCCCTTGTGGCCGATTAGGATGCGTTACTAGTGTCTCGCCTTCAAAAACACCCTCGGCGAAGACTATGGCGCAGTACACCTAATAATATTATTTTACACTTACAAAATTCCGTTTTAGCCAAGAGAAATTTCCTATTTTTATTGAAAAAAAAAATCGATTCAAATTAAAAAAATCAAATTCAATCTACAGTGATAGAGAGTTGCACATTACCAAAAGCCCAGGTCCAGCGGCAAGCGCGACACGAGCTGCACCCCTGTTTGTTAGCAGACTAATGGCTAATCTGGATCCGTAATACATACTAGAACCCGTCGCAGCTCTCTGTCGCAATTCCATCTGGAGCACTTGTTTCTTAGCCAATAGCTCGCGAATCATCTCACCGGGTTCTGGAGCTTGCATTGCAGAGCCAGCGCTGTATCCACGCACTACAAAAGGCGTATGAGCAAATAAAAAAAAAGTCGCAGCAAAAATTATAATTATTTAGCAATGAAAATAAATTAACACCTTCGCCATTAGTAGAAACTACTACTAGATCAGGTTTACCCATTCTTCGGTAATCAGCTTCTACTAAACCCGCTACGCTGGATGGCAGCTGGATCTTGAACATAACTTCGCCGGTATTATATGTCCTTGCATCCACTTTTCCATTACTCCAACCGGTGATTAGCTCCAGGACACCATCGCCATTTATATCAAAAGTTCCTACGGATATCACTTTGTGCTTTGACTGAAACAAATTTTATAAATTCACAGATTAGACTGTTTCGAATGATGAATAATTAAAACTGTGAAATCTTTCTTTTGCGTCTAAAAATCTTACCTTAACTCGCCACATCCGCTGTCCCGCTTCGTAGACGCCAATTGTTCCATTTTCAAGAGCGTAAGCAAACTGCCTGTTTGGAAGATCAGTAAGAACAACAATCGCCGCTGTTTCTTTAGTTTCCCATAACATAGTGTCTTCCTTTTGTACTCTAATTTCATAATCTGTTGTACCCGTCAATAACTAAAAAAATAAAATAATTTGAAAAAAAATCAAACTTAAATAATTAGAACATATAAGATAAAATAGAAAAAAGAAAAAATATAAATATCGATACTTGAACAGGTAAATCTAGAATTTGAAATAAGAAAAAATATGTAAACAATTAACATTAAAAGAGATATATTATTATATTATAAAAATCTTTCTAATTAATATTGCTAAAATACTTCACTTCATTTTCCCCATCTCCGTCGAAATCAAAAACTGCCAGTGAAGTGACAATACCGCCCATTACTGTCCAAAAAATTTCAGTACCCTGCGCATCTAAGATTGTCACTGAACAGTTACCACCTACTATTACAACATGATTTGGCAGCCATCCAACTTTCGCGACAATCATGCAATTTGCACCGTCCGACATCTGAAGTAATTAGTATCGTAGAATAGATTCACCAGTTCAACTCTAAATTTTAATCAATACCTCTTTATAGAAGACGTCAGCATTGTCTTCAACATGATAAGCAAGCACGTGAGAAATGGTACCGACTAAAAGAATATCCCTTTCGTCTTCTCCAAGGCGACCAGTACATAATGATTTCACCTAGATAATAAGGATTTATACTTTATATTTTATAAGATACAAGAAAGGTACGAAATAAAGAGACACAAAATAGTGCGAAACTTTATTTAATATGTGCAAAACGAGATTGGTGACATTTCAATTCCAACGCATTCGGACCTCGGTACCAATTTGAAGCTCCGCAAGTTCTCCACTCCATGACAGTCTTTTATTGGATTGCTTGTGATCGGAGTAATCGACCTGCGGCGGCCGGTGTGGACTGTGCACCAAGATGGTTCCGCCAGGTGTAGCAGCCGCGAGACATGCGTGCGATCCATCAAATTTTCCACTCACGACAAGACTTGCTTTTATGTGTTTCTGGACATTCAAGGAGAATTCTGCCATTCTGAGCTAGCGTTACATCGTCGCGACACGCTTTGCCAATGTTATGCCTTTACCATTGGCACGGTGATGAAATATTGATTTTACAGCTGACTCTACCATTTGTAGATGTCACAGCTGTACTGAACTAATATATTGTATTATCATTATTCCATTATATTTAGAATAACAATTAACATATTCACAACTTAGTAGTTGTATTATTATTATTATAATATTTACTTAATAATTATATTTATTTTAGCAGAAATGTAATTATATATATCACGCAATATTTAAAAATATTATTAACATTATTCCTATTGTACATTATGAAATTATATTATAAATTTGGACAATTTCCACAATTTTCACTCTTCAGGATATAATGCATACGCAGATACGGGTTATTTTCGTTAGAAAATCATTGTCTTTGTGCACTTCCACCTGCTTCCGGATTCGTTGCGGATGACAGCAACAGGAAAATCAAGAAGGGAACGATATACATCCACTACAACAAATATACAAACATTGAATAAATTCTCTATCTATGTACCTATTTATCTCTATGTATATAATTCTTCAAAAATAATATTCTTACATATTTTGCAAGAAATGAACGATTATCTTTGGTTTCTCCTCTTTCTCTTGCTTCTCGTTCTCGTTCGAGCTTCTGTATATACATAGCAGTATCTGGTATTGGGCCACCATCCGGATATTTAACCAGAACATTAGTGGTCCACATATTTGTAAAGGGATTATCTAATGTACAGGGTCCCGAAGATGAAATGCTCACAGCTATCGGTTCTGCTGTACTATCCAACCATATTGTTATAACATCTTCTAAATCCGAACCAAGCAGGTAGCACTATAAATTAAAAACAACATAATTAGCATGCTTAAATATAATAAAATATAATAAGTGCATTCAAGTCAAAGCAAAATAACTAGTGTGTTTGTTAAACAAATATGATAACAGCTAATAAATACTCATACATTGAATGCTTATACTTTCAAGATGATATAATTTTGTTGCAAAAAAGTTATATATTAAAAGAAATTATTGTTATTACTAAAAAGTAATAACATGTTTTTCCAGTGATAACTTTCATCTTTTAATAATACTATATCTCATGCTTTTAAAAATTCGATTATATAAATGAAAATTTATAAAATATAAACAAAATTCATAATATAAATAAACCAACTAAGATTTATTTAAAAACTTGTTTAATGTTTATTGAAAAATAAGCAAATAAACTCTATAGAGCATAGATAAAATGTTATCCATCTAGATTAAAATCAATATAAAGTAATTTTTATGTTCAATCCATGTTTTAGTAGATATAGCCAACTGTTTTTCAGCAAGTACTAGCTGCTTTTCCTGCTCCAGTATATTATCAAATAGGAATCTAAACTAATAGGAATCGTTCCATTGCATCGATGTGTTCTTCAATCAAAACTTTCCAATTTATTTCAATCAAGCATCCTTGAACAAGTTTAGCCTTTCTTGAAGAATCAGCCAATAGAACAAGTCCCAGAAGCTCTCTTTGGCAAGATGTTTACCGCTGGTACAGAAGTGAGGAACATGATTTCACTGCCGGAGGAGGTGCGAGCCAGTGCCTTCAGTCTGTACTTGCCATCATGTTCGGCAAGGGTTTTTAGGGCGCTTATTTGGGCCGGCAGTAGACCGTTCTGTCCGACGACGGACGCCCCGCTACGCACGCTGGACACCGTGACGTTTCCCCGTTCCGTGAACACTGGCACCGGTTCATCGTTGAAGGCATGCCATAACCTCAACTGCAGCCAGCCATCGTACTCAAGTTCGCTCTGGAATTTCGATACTCTCGAGATTAGAGCGCGCATTACGGCGCCGTTGACGCTTCCGAGAGGCGTTTCAAGGCGATGATCTACTTACCCCGCGAACGAACGAGAGTACGCAAAGCAGCACACTGACGATGACGTGCGATGACAGATGCATCCTCGCGATGTAAATCTCGGTGCAGACTTGAACGACGGTAACGAACGAAAGTATCGGAGGTTAATTACCGAGTTACTGACGCGAGGCTACGTATCATTGTGCAATATTTTTGATCATGTTTAATCGTAGACCGTGAAATCTCGATAGTGGATATGCGTCACGCGAAGGTTATAACGTGGCCGCGGTAGCCATGCCGATAAGACAGTTTTGACAAGTTCAGCTGCACCTTCGCGAACTTTTTTTTCTAACGTAAAGCGTTACATATTTTCTTTATTAAAAAATAAAATAGTAAATATTCATATCTTGGAAAGTAAAAAGAAGAAAGATTGTAGTGAAAGATTGTAGAAAGTTAGTTAAACAAGTTAGTTAAAAGAAACATAGTAAATCTGTATGAAATATGCAACATGTATAAAACATTTCAAAAAAGGATACATATATGTAATATACTTACAACGATTATTATTTAGATAATACGATATTAACTAGTTTTTATTAATGAAAATTTTAATTAACTCGATTTTTAAAAATTAAAAAAAATTTCTAAAAAAAAACGATGAAAAAATGGCAGTTGCGAGAATATGATTTAGTTAACGAAATGTGAAACTTCCTGTATAACGATTATTATGTGCGTGATAAACATTTTATCGTCAGGAACGAGCGAAAGGAGCGTTCGCCGCCGTAAAAGAATTTTCAATGATTGTTATTATTATTATTATTTGATTTGAAAACGATATAACATTGTGTGCGATTACAATTTGTAAAGCCTAGAAATATGATATATCTAAAAAAGTTAAGATAATTGCACGATAAAGTCAATTGATTATTTTTTGCGGCGCGAATGGCCGCAGGATAAAATCACAATTAGCTATGTGCCCTGTTCTGCAATCAGAGTGCAGATACGAACAACAATATATATCTAAAAATTTGCTTCCTTGCCTATCTATTCGTACAACATCTCTTTTCCAACCCGAATTTTTAATACTTCGAATTAACTTTGCGTTTTCATAATATTTTACTTAAAGACCCCTATTTAAATATTTGATACATAGCTGTATATATATATATATTCATTTTTTGGCGAATTTTTCAAATATAACATTGTTCGAACATTCATTATTTTAATCTTTCAGCTCCTTGTCATAAATAAAGACACCAAGTCCTTCTCCGACTCTCTCCAGATTCGTCACATGATCGGCAATTTCCTTTATGGCGTCTACTTGTTCCTGTAGAAACTCGGTTTCCAGGAAATCCATGAAATTCGCGTCGTTGTGCGTCGAGGCGATTCCATGCAGCTCGAGTAACTTCTGCAAAAATGAAACAATAATTTATAAATAACAATAATTTATGATGTACAAAATAACATCAACATAAATAACAATAATAAAGCTAGCAGTAATGTAAATTGTATAAATACGGAGAATCGTGCAAAATGGGAATATTTCGTGATAATAAGCCCCAAGAAATTTTTATTATTATAATTATTATAATTAAATTTTTATAATTAAAATAATTATAGATTATATCAATAACATTATAAATTTTAATTATACTTTTAATCGCCTTTAAGCTTCTATAATATTGAAAGATTTTCTCCTTACCTTTGTACCAGGGTTCTGAAAACCCTTTGTACGGCCCTATAGATATGTACTCAATAGAAATAATATATATTTGATATGTAAAACGTCAATAAAATGTTAAAATGTTAACTCTAATTGCAAAATATATTTACGATTTAAATTAATATTAAATAAACTGCATACGCCTTCATATCACAATAAAACGAGAAAAAAAAGATGGTTGGAGGAGCTGGGATTTGAACCCAGGACTTTCCGCATGCGAAGCGGACACTCTACCACTGAGTTACACCCCCGATTACTACATTGTAACTTAAAATCGCACTACTTCCTCAAGCATATGTATTCAACGAAAGAGTTATACCAACAGTAATAATTAAATTAACGACCAGAAACCATGAAATTCGATTAGCAGAATGCATCGAGTTAAACTTCTTTACTGTTAGCTGTTTGAAACTCTCAGTAAAATATTCTGATTTCAATATTAAAATTTATGGCGATATTTATCAATAATTTAACAGACTTTAATAATAATATCAAATATTTACAATCAAATTTTGTTGGATATAAATACATCGAGATGGAAAATCATAAAATTAAAAAAAAAACAATCGATTCGAAATTGAAAAATGCTTCATTTAAAAATTAATATCGTTAAATAAATCCAAATATGTTTTTTTTTTTTACTTTATCACTCGGGGCAGAATCAATTACGCGCGCGTGCGCGCTCGTACACATACACAAGCGCACATACACGCACCTGATTCACTTTCTTCTCTAACTGCAGAGCCTCCGTCATAGCATCCTTCGCGCTATTCCAGTCCCTTCTGGACGGCGCCTGGATGTCCGTCAGCACGACGTCACCGCCCCGCTTGTTCTGATAAGTCAGAAATTTCATGGCATGCTCGCGTTCCTCGTCCGATGCTTTTTTGAAGTACTTGCACAGCCCCGGTAACGCGACGTCACTCCTGTCAAAGTAGTACGCCTGCAAGGAAACGCAAGGTGCGTCGTGGGACGCGGAATCCTTTAAAAAGAAGCCGAAAAGAAGAAGCGCGCCTACTGTCAATAGGCTTAAAATCGCTTCAAAGTCGCGAGAAATCCGCACGCAAGTTTGTTCGCGATTGACAGTGAAGGTGTTTATCATAACGACCCTTCATCGCGCGCAGCTTGCTCGCGGTGAGGAATGCATCGTCGAGGTTGCACCGAGAATTCATTTACATTTAATTATTCAGTCGAGCAGTAAGTGTCAAGCTAGAAAGAGAGATATAAACTTAGGGAAAGGCATGAGATAAAATCTTTAATACGCGATAGCTAATGCGTTTAATCGATTTGTAGAACTGTAGATGTTTTCTGCGAAACAGTGAATGAAAGTATTTTTCCTTATAACGTTTTTAATGCTATGTACTTTCACGTAACGTCCAGATGAAAGGCGAATAAAAGATTTAAGTTAAGAGGCCGTCGAGAGGCGCACACGTACGAGACAACGACACACGGAGAGAAACGACAACGGGTCACATCAGATCGGTATTACCAATGAGAGAACGCGCTCGGGTGTACTCCCCCGCGGGGGTGTTTCGATCGCGTGGTCGAAAGGGAAACGACGGAGAGGGGTTTGAAAAGCTAGGTGTATCTGATCGATACACGACCGAACTGACCATGGACAGATAGACATAACTGGCGTATAGCTCCAGATTGATTTGCTTGTTGAGCGCATCCTCGCACTCCTCGTGGAAGTTCTGCCGCACCAGGCTCATGGCTGCGTAATGAGGGGTGGTTCCCAGGCCGGCTACGAGAAGGGTTGCACTGCGCGTTCGCGATCGTGGCCGATTGTCCGATCCGCCGCGTTCCGTTCGCGCTACGAGGATGACGGACGGACACGGTGCTGCGTAGTCTCGAGGACTTTCATAACATTCCGCAATTGGCGGAATAGTCGCCGAGAATACGGTCCGCACGCAGGCGCGGGGCCACCTCGGCGGAGAAAAGAGATTCCCTGCCAAGGCCTCGATCGCCAGGAGAACGCGCGATTGAATTTCGCGGGAATGGATGGCCGTTCGGTGCGGTGAAATTGCGAATTTTACCGGAAAACGAAAATGATACCGGAAACGCATAGATTTCTCGCGGGTTGACACGATATAACGCAACGTTCAGCATATCGTTTGGTAGATAAGACTGAATTTATCATATTCTACGACAATTGTAATGCACGTGTTTCTCGCAAGTTTTGCGCGATTGCGATAAACGAATCGAGACACGACGATTAGAAGCATATATATCGTGATGCCTTTTGTTTTCTTTTTTTTTTTTTGCATTATTATGCAAGGAAGTATTTTTGAAGAAAATTAAATTTGATATGGGAATATTTTCGCATCGCGTAGAATCTGAGATAAATTTTGCCAAATGATATTTTTTTTACTTGATATTTATTTAGCTTAGATTCACGGCTGCTTTAATTTAATTCATCTTTTATTTAAATATGAGGCGAGTTTTTTAATTTATCGATTAATAAATCGCATTATGCGCAACTTTGCTCTATAAAAGCAGCATTATGCGCTTAATCAATCGATGAAAAAAACTCGAATTAAAAAACTCGTCTATGATAATGATCTGATTAAAACTGCAGCAAGTTGCACCTTGTAGAAATGAGAAAGAAACGAAAACTACGAAAAAAATACACCATTGCAAATTAAAAATCTACCATATAGTTCGAATTTTTATTCATTTTACAGTGCACTTTATTTTTAGAAATTTATGCTACTATTTTCTTTCTACTCTATCTAACCTATCTTTCATCTCAAGTGCAGAAAGTGCAGAAAGATATTTCCAATCCATCACAAATCACATTTCCTAAAATGAAAGAAATTTGAATATAACACAATTGCAAACTAAAAAATGATTGAAAATATAAAAGTTGGTAGAATCTCTTAATTAAAATAAAGATTTATCATATGTTCAAATTCTTGCGCATTTTACAGTGCAAATTTTATTTTTAAAAATTTATTATTTTTCTTTAATTCCAATCTAACCCATCTCTCATCTAAAGTGCAGAAAGTGCAGAAAGATGCATTCAGGAGCGTCGCAAGTTGCCGTGCAAATTGTCTGTGTAAAAGGAAATCGGTAGGAAATTCAATCTCAAATTAAAAAGAATTAAATATATATAAAAAAACATGAATTTTTTGTTAAATTTAAAAACTTTATCATACATATTGATAATACATATTTTACATTCAAATTCTCATGCAACTTTCATGCTACATAATATATACACATAATATTCTCAGGCGTGTTCTGATCGACATTTTTTTCGTGTTGATGATTTATACTCTTTTTTTTGATTCTTCGAAACTCGCGAAACACCGACTTCGATCACGTTGCGCATTTAACAAGTATCAGAAAACTGCGAAATCCAACGATAACGATTTTATTGCGACGGTCGTATCGCCAGTGGTTGGCAACTCTACTTCCACCTGATAGCCAATCTCGCCGTTGACAGTCGCCGATACCGCGTCGTGATCGCGTTTCGAATCGTCCTGTATTATTCCGGGAGGAAATACGCGACGTAATTGGTTTTCCCACGCGTTTTCCGTAGATCTCACCTGCGCAGCACGTTTTCCTGTGCGGAAACGCGCGCGTTCTTGCAGCCATAGTTCATAGCTGTCGTATTTCGCTCGCAGAATCGATGAGGCCCCCGTGGTACGTCGTATGGGGTTATATCGCAAAAGGAAAAAAATGATCCGGAGCAGCGTGTCCTGTAGGATTATCACGGTGCTCGCGGCGATACTCGAAATCTCGGCTACCAAGCATTGGTATGTCACGGAAAATGGGAGAATTCAGCCACAGGTAAGTATACACATATTTAGATATATATTCAATGAAAATTCGAACATCAAGTTCCGATTTTTTCCGAGGAAAATGTTACGTGTGATTGATAAATACCGCGTAAAAACTGCGTTATCCTTCTATGACTCGGCAATTTCAGATATGGCTGCTTAACGTTGAATTATGTTTCTTTTCATGTTTTCAGCACGACAGTGTCTTTGATATGCGTCGGCCATACGATCTCTTGGGATTTCTGGAGCAGGAGAAACGCAGAGAAACAGCCAATGCCATATATAAAAAAATCTCGAGGAAGGAAGTGTCTATTGACAATCAGTTCGTTGGTCTGAGTATAGCTGATGCTGAAAATTCAAACTCAGATTGTTTTCTATGGGACAAGTCGTTGGATATTGATGTACATGCTAGTTTAATAATCGATTATAGACTCAAGGATGGGATAGAGTGAGTGATTATAAATATTGTATCTAAATAGATTTGGAGAAATATTCATCAAATGTTTAATATTAAAATACAATTTTTTGTTGCAGCCAAACTGATTACATGCTGTATAATGTAGTGGCTAATAGTAAACAGACAGTCCCAGATTGTCAGAGAACATTTCCATTAGATTTTAGTATATATACATTTGAGCATCTTAAAGTAGGTACACGTCATTCTTTATGTAAAAATTGCAATGTATCTGTAATGTCTTGTTTGTTGTATCAGGCGATGCAGAATCGAAAGAATCTTACGCAGTATGAAGAACTCGACTTAATGAAGTATTTACCATTGAATACTGATCTCAATCAATTTGGTCATCAGCTCGCTTATAGCTTATCTCGCAATAATACATCCTGGATATACTTGAATCTAGCATCGATTTATTGGCGGATCAAGGGAAATGCTTATAATGCTTTAGAATGCAGTCGTAGAGCAATTGTATGTGCTCCAAGGTAATATAATAAGAACTTCGTTTAGAAGATAATAGAGAAAAGTGTCGCCAGAAGACCGCCGTGTAATTTTACTAATCTCGTAACGAAAGCATTGTACGTGATTAAGGCAATATCGCGATATTCCTCTTCTGACTACTGCCGGCATTTTACACGCTGCGAGATATTCTGGCGAAGCTGCGATTATTTTACATGCGGCGATAGATCATAATCCAACAGAGAGTTATCATCACCTGGCGTTGGGCCACGTGTATACATCCCTCGGCGACTTTGATCGATCTGCAGCGTGCTACGATAATTGTTTGAAATTGGCACCCGACACATTAGAAGCCAAGCAAATGAAATATGCTATATTATGCCATCGATCTTTGGAAACATCCCTGCTGTTATTTGATCAGTAAGCTCATTGTTGCTATCTAATTTGAGAACTGAGCTGAGAATATTTATGATAATGTTTATTACAGGCGCTTGCGGAATGTATTAACTGAAATACATGCGTATCATGATTGGAAGGAGGAATGGTTCAAGCTTTACGAACATATGCTGTGGGAACAAAATATTAAATCTACCACCAGAGAAATCAAGCTTGCTTTTGCACGAGAGCAAAATCTACATTTACTTGCGATAAATCCAGTTGAAAGGTCAATTCATCGTATCGATAACAATATTGTATTATCTTACACGGATTTGGGAGACAGGAAAAAAATAGCCGAGAAGATGTTGCAAAATGTTCATGTTAGTTTGCATCTGTTGAAAAATCTACAGAAACAAGTGAAGGAACGCAATAATCACATTGCGAAAGGTACTTTAGTGATTTTGGCAACAAATGTAAATTGTGTTGAATATTTTACAATGTAAGTAGTAATATTTATATGATATTGTTTTAGATATGATACCAGAATTAAATGTGGAGTACAATCATTTATTTGCATCTCCAACAAAAAGTCCAAAGTATCATAATATAGAAATTAAAAAAGGAAATGAAGATTTTGAAGCTGACCACTGGCCAAAAATATCCGACTGTGATGGCTCTATGTTACTGTTTGGAGATGGAAGACAATATTTACCTATTTATTTATCACCTGAAAATAAAGGTTATGCGTAAGTATTCTTCTCTATAACTTCTTCTCTGTATTATAACCAATTTTAATAATAATTCTAATATTTCTATCTGTCTTTAGAACACATTTATTTGTAAATGAATTGATCGATATTGAACCATGGAAAAAGCATCCTTTACCATGGCATCCACCGATATGCCAATCACCTAAGTCATTTAATAAGAAGTATATTACACATACGTTACTGGATGCGAGTGTGCAACAACATTCACCAGACACTTCTCTGAAACCATTTCTACATAATTTAGTACAATCTGCGGACTTGGCAGAAATTGGTCAAAGAATTTTGACGGCAACCGAGGCGGTAAATAATTTAGTATTATTTTATTACTATTGTAATCGTAATGTTCTAATAAAAAATTTATTATGTCAAAACAGAAAGTAGCAGCTCCATGGGTATTATCCATGCTCGCATCTTTACATTGGAGAATAGTAGGGAAATCACGTTTAGCTTTGGATTGTCTTCAATTAGCATTGGATAATGTTCCTAAAGAATTTATGGATGTACCTTTAGTTAGTATAGCTTCGATGCATCATAAAATGGGTTTAATTGATGATGCTTTTAGAATTACTGACGAAGCTTTACAAATTAATGCTGTGGAGGTATGGAAAATATAATTAAATTTCGTTTTGAAAAGAATTTTGTTTTTATGAATAATATTTCCATAATTCAAACAAACGAGTTTTTATTTACATATTGACTGTATAAAAGAAAATAATATATGTTATAATATTTTCTATTTTAGCCAATGACTAATTTTTTACTCGGTATATTATTAAATATAAAAGGAAATTACACAGGAGCTATACATTATTTGAAACAAGCATTAAGAGTGGATTCACATTTATATGATGGCAGAACATTAATGCTATTAAAAACATTAGCCTGTCGTGAAAAATTTAATGTTATCACAGGTAATCGTCCAGGTATGTATTAATATGTAATTATCTCGTAAAGATTTTCTATCTTATATCTTTTAAATGTTAATGATATAATCTTTTATATTTTATTATTACATTATTTTTTGTTTTGTTTGCGTTTACATGTATTTAATGAAGAGTTTATAATTTATAATTTATTTTTATATTATAAATAATGGAAACACTGCAATTTTTTTTAAATAAAGAAAGAGTAAAAGAGTGGGGAGAAAAATATATAAACAATATATATATATATATAAACATATTTTATTTCTTTTTTTCTTTTTCATTCCTTTGTTTAATTTTGCATTTTTCTTTCATTTTTAACATCTTTGATCTTCTTTTCCAATTATTATATTTTATTATTTATAATT